TGGCCCCCCAGCCCAAGTCCCTGCTGCAGAAGCTGCACGTCTCCTTCCAGGGCTCCTGGCTCAAGGAGTTCCCATGGCTGCACTACTGCCAGGAGACCGGCCTCATGTCCTGCGCCTGGTGCGCCACCACCGCTGCGCCTGCCGACCTGGCGGCGCCCGCGCCTGGGGGCCACGACGAGCTGTGCAAGGGCACGCGCAACTACAAGCGGGCCCTGCTACTCCGGCACCACCTTTCGGCCGAGCACCGCCTCAACGAGCCCGTGTCGGCGGAGCAGGTAAGGCGAGCGGGGGGCGGGGATCGCGGCTTCGTGCCCACGTGTGCCTTGAAATGGCTTCCCCGGGCTCGCCCTGCCCGCCTGCGGCCTGCGCCTCCCCCGCAGCGGGGGGGCTGCCGCCATCGCGCCCTCGCAGTAGGCCCCTGCGGCTGCTATTCGCGGCCCGGCTGCCCCTCGCCTGGCTGCTTTTGTGGAAATCAGTTGGTGACGAGCATTTCCAGAACAAAAAACTAGCGGCTTCCTCCGGGGGAAGGGGGGTTTCAGCAGGGCCTAGAAACAACCTTCTCCAGATGCCTGCTAGGAGGGTGCATTTCTGGTGGGGCCTAGATGACAAAGTGTGTACCCTAGCAGGGTGTTTGCTCCAGTGCTGTTCCTGCTCTGCTTCTCTTGTTTTCCTCCTCTTTTTTTTTTTTTTTCTTCTTCTTGTTTTGCCTAGCAGTGATTTGGATTTCGTGTTACTTTGCATGAAGTGTGAAATTTCACGATGTGGATCTCAGATAAACATGTGGTTTCCTGAAAGCCTAGTTAATATGCCACCTATCTTTGAAGGCTTTGGAGCAGTTGCGTTGCATGTGAAAGAGTTGTTAGAACCTCTTCCTTGGGCCTTTTCCCTTAATGCTTGGCTCTTTCATGGGCCTTTTGTACCAAATTTCTGAAGGGTCTCTGGAATGTCAGCACATTCAGCCCTTCTAAAAAGCCTGTAATGTTTGTTTGTGCTGGGCTTGATACTCGGGCAACAATCCACAGGTTGTACTTCATTTCCTGTGGCACTGTTACAATAAAAGCTATATATTGATAGTGGAATGAATATGTGGCAGAATTAAGTGGGAGGAAAAGGTTTAAGTTGCTTTGAATGTCTTTCTAACCAATCAAAGGTTAGATCTTAGAAACTAAGTAGGGCTAACTTGGGTGCCTAGGTATAGGTGTACCTAAGGAATACATCATTCTCTTCAGTAACTTTTTCCCTGAGGTTATGTTGACACAAAAATAAGTTTTGTTAATTCAAGTTAAAATAAAGCTGACTTGGGTTAGTAAACTCTGGTTCAAACTAAGTTACTTGTGTATAAACTAGAACTTGAGTCCTGGCCCAAGTTAGATTCACTTCACTTTAGTTTAATTCAGTGTTTCTCAGCCGGTGGGTCACAACAGGGTTGTGAACAGACTTTAAAAATGGATTCTCCTTTTTAAAGGAGAAAAAACATGGGAAACAGTGGCTTTTCCCTTGCAGGCTGGTAGCGTTCCAGCCTGTGAGGGGCTGCTTGGGACCCCTCTGCACCACACACTGGGGATATTGGGTCAGGAGTCTGGGGCACTCAGTCAGGACTAGTCATCAATGTTTCTGAATGGGTCCTGGTACAAAAAGGTTGAGAACCACTAGTTTAAGTAATGCTGAGTCAGAGTTGAAACCATGCCTTTGGGCTCTTGAAAGAGGCGGGAGCACTTCTGAGAGGAGCAGGCATTTCCAGCATGTTGGTGGATATTTGTATTAAGATGTGTATGTTAAGAGAATCTGGATTCTTTGGCATGCCTTCAGTTGGGTTGGATATGCAAGTTTCACTACTTATGCAACTTCCTATGTCCAGGGGCTGTGTTGCTGATCAAGGTGGCTGTTTCTGTATTAAGTGAAGTGACTTGAGTCATCCCTAAGAAATTTTTGGTTTATATATTGCAAATATCCACCTTCAGAGCAAAGTATCTTATCTTTCTAGTAAAACTGGGAGCAGCAGAGCTTTGGTTTTTGAGATTTGTGTGGCAGTGCCATGAAATGTTCAAGCAGTTTGTCAATTATCCTGCACTTTGAGGCTTACTTGTCAGTTTCCAGTATCTTTTATTTTAAAATAACTTTACTTTCTATTATGATCATATTTTCTTTCTTAATTTCATGACTACTTGTTATTCTCTTTGCTCTAGAGCCATTGGTTTCTTTTTCTTGTTTATATCTTTCAGTTATTTAAGAGTGATTTGTCCTGTAGTGTAGTAAGCCTGGCTCATGTCACATGATTCTTCCCCCCACCCCCCATTGACCTTGATGTGTCACTGGATTTTGCTGCTTTCTTTTGTTCCTTTTAAACAAATGGAGTAGAGACAAAGGTTTTTTCTATTTTCAAATTGGCCACATGTGTTCTAAGTATTTTCGTTGCTAGATATTTAACGTAATTACTTCTGTGGATTTCCTATAGTCTATATTAAGATATTTTATACTGAGGGGTATATCTTTGGCTTACATAAATTCAAACTGGCTTTCATGAAGCAGACACACAGTTATGACTCATACCACCTGAGGGTCAGGGTGCTGGGGATTTTTTCATAACATGAAACGGCCAGACCAGTCATCTTTTCTTTAAGCTGTCATGGGTACCCATAAATTCTAAACATTTGAATAGGTGGACCACAATAATACTTCCATATTCTAAATAAGGGGAAGCAGACTGATATTTGAAAACACTTGTAAATAAAGAAAGACATAAAATTTAAAAAATGGAGTATTAGTACACTTAGAATCCTCTAAGTTTAACTTCATAGGTTAATATTTTGGAGCTACTGGTGCACAGGGGTACTACCCACCCCACCCCTTCTCCCTCTCCTCTCCTGTCCTCTGTTCTTGAGGTCAATAACTGTCTTCTACTGTGTTCCTGAGTATTACCTTGGATAGTGTAAGCCTCTAAAGGGTGGCTTCAGGAATTGGCCTTACAAATTGGAAGCCGCCCCTTGCATCCTTAAACAGTCAATGTCATAATCTCACCTTGTCCTCCAGAGAGCTTTTAATTTAGATGAATTTTTCAAACAACGTGTGTGTGTTTGATGTTTGTTCGCATCTAATCTCAAATTTGGTTAAAAATCAACTCTGCATTTTTTTTCTTCTGTGTTTGAATTTCTGTGTAGCTTTACACCTAAGATCTCTTCCAGTTCCCCATCTCTTAGGTTATTGCATTCATATTAGCATAAATTTATTAATTTTTTTAATAGCCCTCCTCAAGTACTTAAAACACAAGTATGTGATTTGTGCCCCTTTTCATACATTCTCTCAAAATTTTAAGAAAATATATCAAGGCGGGGAAAAGGGGTTTAGCATTAATGAAAACTGAGAGAGCTTTCAGTCTTTGTCTCAGAAGAACAGTATACATGTATTCTTCACTTGACAAGCTTCAACTGCAGGGCATGTTTAACAGCTGCTAATAAACATATGGCATGATGCCACTGTTCAGACGTGGAAAGGAAATTGTAGGTGTTAGATACTAAAACACTGGAAATTTCTATAGGTTTGTTGGCTAATACACATGGAAAAAAATGAATAGCGATTTCACTTTAGTTTAGGGATACGCTTAATTTGGAATGCCAAAATAAATGACAAGTAGTTGTGACTGTAAATTCATGTGTTTTGAGCTTTGAGTTGATGCCTTCTTTTTGAGCCACTGATCTCAACTCTTTTAACCTAGTTTTTAAGTAAACTGTAGTGGACCAAAAACAGGACTTCGCTAATATGTGGTAATTTAAGACTACCTTCAAGATTTTTTTTTTTTCAGCGTATTTGGACCCTTTCAGTAGAACACATTTACAGAGGGGATTGAGAGTCAGGTTAACTTGTGTTTTGCTATGCTTTCTTCTGCTGTTAAGTAGATCCCTGAGATGATGGCATTCCTTCCTCTATTTCCCTCCCCCCACACACAGTCTATGCATCTTAAATTTGGGCCTTGAAAGTAACATCACAAAGAATCTTCCTTTTGGCATCAGACAACTTCTTTGAAAGTAATACCACATTAAATGCTATTCTACTTTTTCCATGTGAACTGATTGCTTCATGTTAGGCAGCAATGAATAGGAAGTAGTATTAAACAAGCTGCAGTACTAATGTTAGCTGCTTTGATTACTGCTTAGTCACGTTGATAGTCCCCCTTCTAAAGAATTTAGATTTAAAATAAAAGTGAATTATTACATCTCTGTATGGGTTTTACCACAATGGGGACCAACCAGACTGTCTGGTAGGCACTAGCATAACATAAATGTGTAGTCAATATTAATATTATAGTTTTGTGACATGTTTTCGATCAGCTGGCTATTGATGCTGCATTCTGCTTTAAATCTCTTGGATTCTACTAAGACCCTACCAGTGATGAGAGAGTCCTGCAGTCTCTTCCTCTTACTGGGTCTGCTTGGGGTTTCTCTTGGACGCACAATAGTAGAGAAGTATTCAGGTGGTGAGGAAAGGGGTAGCATCTTCAGTAGATCTCTTAGTAATCTGTTGTATCTCTCTTTCTTAACCTTCTTATTTAACATATTATGCACACTAAATAGCCAGTTACAACTGGTAGCATTCAGTTGACTTCAGTGAGTCAAGAATCATTTTGATACTAATTTTCCCAAAACAATCCATATTTCATAGATTCAGTTTGATATGTAAGGAAGATGTATTAGTTTTTACACCTTTGTTATTTTATGGGTTCTGTAATCCATACCAACCAACAATCTTGGCTTTCAAGATTTTCTAAGTACCTCATTTGGAGTTGAGATGGCTTGTGCTTGGAGGACATTGTCTCTTCATTGTGTTTCATTTGAATCTAGACAAGTGTATATATTTTTTTTTTTTTAAGAGCCTCCTTGATTCTGTTTCATAGCTGAACAGTGCTCTTTAGATTGTCATGTGCATGTGTGCTGTAGCATACATCTTGAAGTATATTCTTGTATTTCCCTAGAATTGTTACCTGAAACAATTCTACGCTTAAAAGGAAGCTAGTGGGTTAAATCAGTTAAAGCCCCTGTCCACAGCTTGTTAGTAATTCATTTTCCTCTTGAGATGCATTTTAAAACTTGTTTTCACTTGGTTCAGACAAATTAGGTAGCGCTCTGATTTTTAGATGCTAATATAATAGTTGGCTCACAAATACTACAAAGAGCTGTTTTCTTACAAAGAGAACATAAACCATTTATGTCACTCTTCTTGAGTTGTATGTTTTGTAAAATTTTGTCTAGATCCTACATCGGTGACTCTCAACCACATTAGCACCCCTTGGACAATGCCAACTCTTAGGTTTTTTTTGACTACAGAAAAATGATAGAGCAGCTCTGCTACAGGAAAGAACTCAGACCACAACAAATGAGAATGCTTTTAACATTGAGTTCCTTTTTGAAATCTCTAGGTTTATTGTGTGAACCATGTTTGTATTAACTATGCTAGCACTGTGTGGAACTCCGTGGCACTTTGAAAGGATCTCAAAGCACCCCATGGCACTGGCACACTGGTTGAGAATCACGGTCTTAAATATTGATCCCTCTGTCTAACTACCTGTCTCCCTTTATTAAATATGACTGCTTGCTTGTCAACAGTTAGTCATCTTATGTTGTCTTCATAGTAAACATTTTAAACTTGTGTACTTGTACTAATCTTATAAGTCTCTGTTAGCCAACTTAAATTGATTTGACAGTCATTTCCCTGAAAAGGCATCTCATAAATCTTTTTTTTTAGTCTTCTGATGACTCTCTCTGGATACTGTCCTATTCTGAATTGAAAGTTACTTCTTCACAACCATATATCTGGGCCTCTTCATGATGCAGTACTTAAAGTCTTACTACAGAACAGGAGTGATTGAACTGCAGCTTGAGTCAAATATTACTCCTATGCAGGTTAAATGTGGACTCTTGTGGGGGGGGAAAAAAAGAGAAGTAGTTAGAAAAAAGAATCTTTATCTGTTCATCAGGGTGGACTTGATTTAAATCAAATCAACTTTAAAGCATGATTTAAAGCACTGGTCAGGAAGCTTCGATTTAATCATTGTTTTCTACAAAAAGTGCATTCTTGTTTGATATCCTTTATTCATTTTAACTTCTTGAAACTTCGCACTTTCAGAGAAAGGTAAGGTCTTGATTGCGTTTATACACTTGCAGAGAGACAACAGGGCTGATAGGTGGGTAATCAGGTTCATTATCTCTCATCTTCATATACTGCTGTTAACAAGAAATGTTATCTGTCAAGACACAAATCCAGTTTCAGAACTGAAACTAAGCATCACATGCTTAATGGGATCTTCTAGCTTGAGCACTGAGTCCCATTCAGTAGAGTGGTTTTCTTTAATCTATAGGGAAGCCTCTGGAAATGCCATAAGATTGAGCCCTTAATATAGTCCATGGCCTATTGTGAGCCATTTCCAGGGCTGTCCCTGGGGAGGCGAATCAGGGCAGCCACCCCAGGCCCCACGCTTTGGGATGCCCTGTGGAGCTAGCTAGAGTGGCCACAGTGACTCTGTGCTGCTGGCTTTGCATCTGGCCACTCGCTATCCTGCCACCGCTGATGTCACCACCAATGGTGGTATCTTCTTCATGTCCTGGGGGCAGGGCCCCGCATGGCTCATTTGCCCTGGGGCTCGCACCCTTATCTGGTTGGCTCTGCCTATTTCTAAAACTTTTTCTAAAAAGGTTAAGTTAATATATTGTCTCAAATTATATATACAGGTTTCCCTTGCTTTATGTTGTACATGCATTCCTGGAATGTGCATAAGGGGAACCCACTTTACAATGTAACAGATGGGGATATGTTCCAAGACCCTGACTGTATTGACCCCCAGACCCATTTCTACCACTTCTACAAGACAGTTTTGGTACTCATCAACAGCAGACAGTACACACAAGCACAAGGTGGCAGTGAATGTTACCATATTGGGGATGGCAACTACAGAAACACGTGTCGCAGATGGCGATGTATAGATCCACGCAGGAGACTATATTTTGCTGCACATCACTCCTACAATGCACTGCACAAAGCAGCTGACTGTAGGCTTCCACCGCACCAATCACTTGAGTGAAGTTACCTTGCATGTAACAAATTTTAGTATAAAAAGGGTAATTTCATGAAAGCAAATTTGCACATACAGAACCTGCATAAAGCGAGGGAAATCTGTAATTAGAAGTTATAATCCCTATTCCATGGTGAGTTTTAACACATCTTAAATTAAAGCTATATAGTTTTGTTTTTTTAAGAAAAGTGTCTTAAAAATAAAAAAAAAATGATTAAATGAATCCAATATTTCTTTATTTTATTTATATATTTTTATCCACCCTGCTGTTCATTGTATTTTATTTCTTTTAAGTTTTTGCTGCTAATTTACTCTTAAGTAGTTGTTTAATAAGTTATTTGACATGGAAAAGTGTGTAGGTAACTGATTCTGATACACAACTCCAAAACTTGTCTTGTGGCTCATGACTACAAAATCAGGTTTGTGACTAGAAGTGTTAGGAAGTTTGGGCACTCCTGTTTTAGAACTTGCTATAATAGCCTTTCACAAATAATAAACTTTGCTTGTTGTGTCTGCTTTCTGTTTGCTGTGCCAGTTTTCCGAATAGTGAGTTAAATATTTATAAGCATCTTCAGGTGTTGTCACCTTCATTTGTTTTTGTTCTTGCTACTCCATGGACCCACGTGACAATCTTTCTGTCCAGGCTTTTGGAGCCAGCAACACTGTCCCCAAATCCTTTAAGAACTTAAATTTGCAGAATTGGAGTTGCCATCAGAAGTATGGTACACTGTTGGTGTAAAGCAAAGTCTTGTTGAGACCAAGTTTGAGGGTAGTGCTCAGATGTACCAAATAAGGTATTGGCAAATAGTGAGGTTCAGGGGAGAAATCTTTTCCATCAGTTCTTAGCTGCAGCCCAACTTTCTACCTCTTTTACCAATGTCATCTCTGAGGAGAGTAATGGTTTGAGAAAGTGAAGACTAACTTAGCGTCGGAGCCACTTGATGTTGCACTGCAGCAGCTGTTGAGACTCTAGTCCTTCTTCCTTCTCCCTTTCTTTGTCCCCCCAGATTGGGGCTGTAAACAGATTACTCATTTCTTCCCTTCCAGAAAGCCTCTTTGTCCCCAGATGCTACAGACATACAGGTCCACTGTGAAGTTTGTGAAAGCTTACAGATGCACACTGCGCATCTTTCAGGCTGTGTCCTTGCTTGCCACTGACTGGCAGAAGAGCAGCAATACAGCTTGGAAGGCCTGTTGCTCTAGTTTTTGATCTGGGCCAAAACCTAGGACATTTGGAACCACTTCAAATGATATGTCTGTTTACAGCCTAGGGGGAGAACACTTTGAGCAGTTGCTTTTTGATTTATATGAAGATTTGGTCATGGGCATCTTGATTTTATCCATGTTGAGGTTGCAACACTTGTTAACATGTTAGGTCACCAGCTCAACATATTACTGTGGTGAGAATGCAGTCTCTCTATATTATGGTAGGAATTGAGGCATTTTTGTTGTCTTCAAACCAGAATGATGCAAGATATCTTGTATTTGGTCTGGGGTGGGGAGAGTGTTTCTTGCTAAGCATGGGGTTAATGGTGATATTTTTATGATTCCTGTCCTCTGGATAAGGTCTTAATAGTGTCTACTGGCCATAAGTCTGTGAATTATACTAGCTGGCGATCATACTATTTTTCTCTTCATAATTTGGCATCTGAAAACCAGTTTCTTGGTCTCTCAATTCATTCTAGTTTTTGAAACATCTACTTTTCTAACCAGTAAGTGGAAAAAAATTCCATCAGCTCTCACCTGGAAGACCATTTTTTGCTCTGCTATGAAATTGCTGCTGTAACCTTCAGTCCTGTTTTTGGAAATGCCTCAGCAAAAAGATGGCTATACTGAGTATCCCATCTTGCTCCCTTTCCAATTTTTTTTCTTTGCTTCTTGTTTCGAAGATGGTCCTTTGCTGCTGTTAATCTGCTGGTAACTTCCCTATCCATCTTCTTTTTTTAATTTAGCTCAACTCTACAACTTAGCTTCTCACTATTTGCAGTAATCCTGAGTAACATCTTAATTTCTGGCATCTCTTTGTCTGATGTCATTATTTTTGTCTTCAGTAATATAACATGGTTCTCTGAAATTCCCTAGTGAAAAATGTCCTATAAAAGCAAAGTATTGTAATTTTCCATCTGTACCATAAGTGTTGGATTTTAAGTTCTGTTATTGGCAAATCCATATTGAATGTTGATTCAAGGCACTACTCAGTTAAGTATTGTCATGTGTTGATCCTTGCAGTAATTTTCTTCAATACCTGTCCCTTTTGAGCTACAATGTAATGTTAGTCTGCTACAGTTGGCAATTAGACGATTAAATATTTTTGTCAAACTATTTCTAGAAGTTAGAAAACTTATGTAACTTTTGTGTTCAGTGGATCATAACATTGCAGGTGATCTCCAAAGGAGGTAGAGGGTATTGAGCATTAGTTTTACTTACCAAGCATTCTACATGCAATATTGTAAGGAGGAAGGAAGGAGATACTGAGAATCTGTTGTTCAAGATCCATCTTCCCATTAGTGCTTCAGGCCTCTGAAAGAACAAAAATCTAGTGTATAAGAGGCTTCAGTCTTTTTCCTGCCCCTCCCCCCCCCAATCCATCTTTACCTGGATTGATGGCTAGGTGTATTTAAAGGAAGGAAGTTCTTTATACTTGAAATTTATACGTTTGTGTTAATATAAAAAGCTATGGCTTGTATAGAAATTATGGCTTTGTTTATCTTAATGCTAGGGATATGTATAGGTAAAATATTCCTTCCTTTCGACTTGTATTCTTTTTAAATTCAGGCATTTGTATTAAAATGTTAGGTTTTTTTAAAATAGTTAGCTAACAGTCATTCTCCTTGGTTAAAATTTCACTTCCTTAGTATTTGTGCCAGTGCAATTATTTTGTATAGAAGGGTTTTTTCCCTACGCCCCTTCTTCCCATTACTGGGGGGAGGGGGAGAGTAAAAGGGTTTCAATATCACTTAAAGGGAAAAGGAAAACCTGAAAATTGTACTCAAGACTGCCTTTAATGTAGATGCGTATTCAGACTGTTTATAAATTGCATTTTGATTTTATAAACTAGTTTTACCACGTAGCTATGGAAGGAAAAATAGGGAAGAAATTCATTAAAAACTAATTTTTTTTTTTTTCTAATTTCAGGAGTCAGAAATACCATCAGAATTGAATAATGAGGGATACTGTGACTATAATAACCGGCCAAATGAGAACTCTTACTGCTATCAGCTCCTGCAAGAATTAAATGAACAGAGGAAGAAAGGCATTCTTTGTGATGTCAATATTGTGGTGAGTGGGAGGGTCTTCAGAGCTCACAAGAACATCCTGGTTGCAGGCAGCCGCTTCTTTAAGACTCTGTATTGCTTTACGAACAAAGAAAGCCGTAACCAAACCACTGTTACCTATTTAGATGTTGTTGCTGTTCAAGGTTTTTCTGTCATCTTGGACTTCTTATATTCTGGTAACCTTGTGCTTACGAGCCAAAATGCCATTGAAGTGATGTCAGTGGCCAGCTACCTTCAGATGACTGAGGTTGTCCAGTCTTGCCGCAACTTCATTAAAGATGCCTTAAATATAAGCATAAAATCAGAAGCTCCAGAGGCTGTAGTGGTGGATTATAATAGAAGATCTGTTAGTAGGGATGGTCTGCCTTCATCAAGGGATCAGAAAGTTGCCAGTTTCTGGGCAACAAGAAATCTCACTAACTTGGCAAGTAGTATAAAAACTGAAAATGATGGTTACTGTATTGATGAAGGCCAAATTGAAAACTACCAAATGAATGACTGTAGTTGGGTCCAGGACAGCTCACCTGAAATGGCTGAAAATGAATCTCAAGGCGAAGGAAAAGTTTTTGTGTGGAATGACATGGGCTCTCAAGGACAATCGGGTCAAGAACCTGGAAAAGCAAGGAGGAAAAATCAAACTGCGAAGAGATTTATTTATAATATACCACCAAATAATGAAGAGAACTCAGAAGATTGCTCAGTGATGCAGCCATCAGTTTCATACCCAGAAGAAGACTTGCAGTTTATTAAGGAAGAAGCAGGTACGTGTTATAATTATACATTAGATTATTTAAGCTTTTTAGTGTTGCTTGGGCCCATTACAGGAAAACATTTCTATAAATTTGTATTGGATGAGATCCTGTAGTAAAGTCAACAAGCAAAATTAATTAGAAATATTTTTCTTGGTTATTGTGGGTCTTGCTGTATATTATTTCGAAAAGACTGTCTGCGCTCTGTGTACTGACTGTTGCCGTGGTGTGTAGACAAAGAAAAGTTAAAACTCCTTGTTCATGTTGGTGAAATGATTAGGGCCTTCAGAAGCATGACTTGTGAGGAAAGGCTGAGAGAACTAGGTTTATTTAACCTGGAGAAGAGAAGAGTCGGAGGAGGGATTTGATAAGTCTTCAAAACCTGAGGTGTGATTAGAGAAAGTATGGAGATCGACTTTTCTTTGTGGCTGCAGGCAGCAGGATTAGGAGCAATGGCCTCAGGCTGCAGCAGACAAAATTTAGGTTGGAGATTACCATGCACAGGAGTTCTGGTTGTCTTTATCAGTAATGTCTGTTGGGGGGGATAAATGTGTCCCTTCTTGCCTTTGCACTTTCCCTCCCAGAGGGTATAAGGAGTGGGATGACCCCAACCATTACTC